ATTAACCCTCGCCCATGTAGGGGGGGGGTTGGTGCAACCCCCCCCCTGAGGTTTTTCGGAAATAGTGCAAAAACGGCGGCGCGCAGCGCCGCCAAATTTTGGGTACCTTATGGGGCAAACCTTGCGCATCTTTTGATAAAAAAAATTTGACCGGGTCATGTCAGGTCACGGAGTTATGACGTCACAAAGGGAACAGCCTCCGGCCGGATTTTCACAAACTGAGTGCCAACGCCCGAGGTTTCCTGCCGGTGGTACGGACATCGGTTGATGGATCGTGATGAAACTTCCCATGCATGTTGGGGCAAGTATTGGCTATCATATGGTATAAGAAACTTGACTGGGTCAGGTCAGGTCACGGAGCTATGACGTCACAAGAGGAACAGCGTCCGGTACTATTTTTGAAAAGCGCCCGAACCACTATTTTGCTAATTCTTGTCACCTCAATGGGAATATGCAGCAATATTAGCTTCTATAGGGAGCAAATGGACATCCCAAATCCAAAAATACTATCAGATTTCAAAAATTTAAATTTTGATTTTTCGAATTTCTGCCGCCGACTGTGACCTTGCCGACTTCCGGCGCTCCCAACGCGCCATTTTTAGAGCTAGGGAAACGAAATACATACCAAACGATAGAGAATTGATCAAGGAACACGATAGTGAAGGTTTAAAGTCGATATCTTCCACCGTTTTGCCGCAATCGCCGCGGAAAATTTGAAAAAGTCTATTTTTCCGAAAATTTGACCTTTGACCGGTCAAAAGTAGGTCAAATGTTGACCTAGGACCAAAAAATTTACCACCAATCGCGAGATCTCGGCGAGAGCAATCCGTTGGTCTTTTCCGCTAAGCTCTACGACGCTCCGTTTTCAAACGCCAAGGGGGGGGTCGCACCAACCCCCCCCCTGCATGGGCGAAGGTGGCAGATCGCCGTTTATGGGCGAGGGTTAAGCACCGCCCAACCGCAGGCTCATGTTTAGAGGGCGTTGGTCCGCATCAAAGCCAGTGTGCTGGAGAATCCAGTGGCTGAAATGCTCCAGAACGTTCGCCACTGTGTTTTTATGAAAGGTGGCCTCATGCTCAGTTAACCCGGCAGTTGCTGGGGTATTTCGCCACCCACCGTTTGCTGGGGGGGGGGGAGGGGGCGTTAAACGCCCCCAGCCGATAACTCGAGAACCAATAGGCGCAGCGAAACGCACGAGGCGGCAATCGAAAGAACGCGACGAGACGCTTCAGATGAGTACTTTAAAGTTGAACTTTGAGGTCACAGGTCGGGTCAAGGTCAGGTCAAACACCTGAAATCGAGCTTTCAGTAGCATGGACTTCAGGACTTCGCAATGAGCGCCTCTCGTCATAAACTTTGTCAAAACGGTGCACAATCCATCATATAAGGCCTACAAGAGTGTCAGCCCCATGTAGGGGTCAGTCAAGCATAGGTCAGGGTCAAGGTCAGGTCAACCGGGTAGGCACATATCCCCGAAAATCAAAACTGATATTCGCAGCCTGTGACACATGTTTTATGGGTAATTTGGGGCGTAGAACACGATGGTGACATTCATTTTATCATATGTGTACGTGTTTGGCTCAAAAAGTTCAATTTAAGAAATGTATGTATCATGGTCGTTAAGTGGTCACGAGAAATTGCCAAGATTCAGATCAAGATTTTGGCAAATGCGAAACGATAATCAATAATCGAAGATAGCCATTTGATTGTTCATGGTATTGGCAGTCTAATGCCGTTTACGGCATGTCTGTATGTCTATTCTGTGATTTTATATGATTTTTGAACATATGCCGTTTTTGGTCGAAAACTCAGAAATCATGACGTCACTAAAACCTCGATATCTTAAAAATGTTCCGACCGATTTTTTTGAAATTTTGTCACAATAGACTTCAATCAATTCCCTACAGGTACCCAAAATTTGGCGCGCCTGCGGCGCGCCGTTTTTATGCTATGGCCCGGCGAAAAAAGTGGGGGCGTTTAACGCCCCCCCCCCCAGCAACTCGCGGGTTAAAAGAAAAAGTACCAGAATGTTTTGCTTTTTAATTACAGCGGGAAGAAAGGTGTCCGGATAATTTCGTTACACCCCTGTAATGTTCAAATGGTTGCTAAATTCGAAATCAGCTCGAAAAACTAGCCTAGAAACATGTAAAACTCGAAGAAGTGAACCGAGGTCATCAAAGGTCATTGAGCTGACCTGACCTTCAGGTGACCTTGACACCCAACCTAATGCATGGGACCAGCATCATATCACATGTTTCAACGCTTGAAACCACGTAAAGACTGCAAACGCGCGGCTAATGCGAGCCGACATACGCCGAATCGCGATTCGGGCCAAACATGGTCTCGAGAAATAGGTCACAGGTCAAAGGTCATTTGGGTCAGGGTCATGAAATTTTCAGGGTAGGTGTAAAATTGATAAAATCAGGGGTATTGAAAGTTTCGTCGCGATCGGACGGTTTTTACGCGAGTTACTCACGAAAAACCGATGGGGTCCGTTCAACGCCTCCCCCTATACGAGCGAGGGAAAAGCGCCACCAAAAAGCAAAAGTATGCACATGCGATAACCTATACTGCGAAAAAAGGTGCATCGTTTTTTAACGGCGCCGACAAATTGTAATTACCCCTTAGTATATGACTCAAGATCGTTTTTCCATTGGAGCACGTGTTGAGGATGAAAGCGTTTCTAACAGGTTTGTTAGTGCACTCCGTGCACTAACAAACAGTTAGTGAACGGGTCAATGACCCATACAAAACAGACAGGTCAATGTCCTATGACCTACAGTCAACGCCGTGCAATTTCATTTTTCATCTATTTTATTGTCTATTGGCTCTTTTTGCCTATTCTATGGCTTGTTTATTTATGTATGTATGTATATTCAAATGTGTTTTTCTCTCTATCTCTGGTGTTCGGACAAAATCAATATCAGTTTCAGAGCCACCCAATTAAATACCAGCAGTGAACAATCAACATGTATTGCAGACTTAGCAATGACACAAAACAGTCATCAATACATGTACATATTACATATTACATGTATTATGTAATAACGTATGCATATTACATGTGCTAAATAACGTATACATATTACATGTGCTCGTTGCGCCCTCGTAGTCCAAACAGCATCGTGAAATACCAAAAAAGGACCCTAAGGAGCGCCATAGGATGGTGAAAGCCGAAGGCCTTTGACTCCCAGAATTTCCTCTCGTCTTCTTCGGATACTGGCATGGCTCTATTTGGCCTGTTGCCCTTGCCGGACGACTTTGACACCGCCATCTTTGCTTTGAGGACATCTTGCTCAAGAGAAAATGAGGACGATGTCGATATCTTAAAGTCAGGGTAGCTCTGCTCTTTTAGGTGCCTTTCGATTGAGTATATGATCCCCTTCAGAGTCTGTGGTTCATATTCCTCGCCATCGCTTCTCTTCAGTTGTTGGATATACCTACATAATAGGTAGGCACTTAACAACGGCGCATCCAGCTTATGTGGATCCTTGCTCTGTCCTTCATGCAGAAGAAAGTGTTTAAATTTACGTACGTCTTGTTCAGTGATTTCCTTTGTCCTGGATGACTTGGTGCTAGCAATGATGCTTCCTCTCTCGCTGTTTCTATCGTAGTTTCATTTTTATCTTCATCATCATCAAGTAAATTGCCAATTAAATCAAAACACGGTCTATCACTCATTACTGTTAATTCGAATAACGTGTAACTGCCAAGGCCTAAATTTGCTGACAATGCAAACCGAAATTGTTTCCAGACTTGATTTTTCACTTTAATTTTGAATTCGCGTGGCGCAGTCATATACTAAATCGCTTAGTACACTCGCGTTTCTAAATTTTCATTTTGTGACCTCGACTGCGTCTCGGTCACAAAATGAAAATTTAGGCCGCGTTCGATGTCTCCTCGGACGAAGAACATTCTACGCAGAATATTCTATTTTGCGTTCGATGAAGCACACAGGCGGACGGCGAGACCGGCCATTTTGTGCGCCACTTACACAATGTGCGTCAGTTTCGAAAAAGGCCCAAGTTTACGTTTCCATAGAGACCGCACACAAATATCAACAACTTCTGCAAACAGCTGCTGCGCCGCTTTTGAAATACGCGCCATCATTGCCTCTCTGCCCGCCGTAGTACGCTCAAAAGATTCTGCGCGGACGGCAAAGATTCTACGTGACGTCACGTAGAATCTTTGCCGTCCGTGCGACATCGAACGCCATTTCGGGCCCGGACGGCATAGAATCTTTGCCGTCCGGGAGACATCGAACGCGGGGTTAGAAACGCTCGTGTACTAAGCTATAAAGCTCAGGCAGATGTACCTATGGTAGAAAATACCCCAAGTGAAATACACTACGGCGGAAATAAAATACCCTACGGCGGAGCTCGGTTGCAATTTGTAAATACGCCGCCGGCGGAGACAGGTGTCGCGCCGCTGGCGCCATCTGTCGTGCGTGTGGCGAACCAGGACATTTTGAGGTGGTGTGCCACCAGAGGGCCAGCCCCACGGCCGATCGTCCAGTGGCGACATCTGCAGTGACGAGAGTACGAGACTCTCCGGGGGTGGCGCTAGTAGCGGTAGCCGCCGGCACCGCCGTGTCACAGCCGCCGGCGGACACGGGCCCAGCCGGGCACACTGCGCTGCAGCCCACGGAGCTGAGTGACGCTGCTGACGTCCACGGAGCCTCGCCGCCGCCGGCGGGGGGCTGGCCAACGCAGACCACGGACAGTAATGAAGCCCCGGACAACGCCGTGTCACCGCCGCCGGCGGACACGGGCCGAATCGGATGTGCTGCGGCGCAGCCCACAGAGCCGGACGGAGCTACGGACGCCTACGGAGCCTCGCCGCCGCCGGCGGGAGGCCCATCGGTAGCCACCGGCGCCGCCGTGTCGGTGCCGCCGGGAGACACGGGCCGAGGAGCCGACCGTACCGCGGCGCAGCCCACCGAGCCGGCTGGCGCGCGCGGAGCCTGCTCGCCGCCGGCGGGAGGCTGGCCGGCGCAGACCATGGAGGCAGCCCCCGGCGTGTCACCGCCGCAGGCGGACACGGACCGGGCTGGGTGTACCGCGGCGCAGCCTACAGAGCTGGCTGACGCCCACGGAGCTTCGCCGTCGCCGACGGGAAGCCTTCCAACGCGGACCAGCCATGGAAACGAAGCCGCTGGTGACGCCGTGTTGCCGCCGCCGGCGGACACGGGCCAGCCCGGGGCCACTGCGGTGCAGCCTACAGAGCCGAATAGAGCTGCTGAAGCCTACGGAGCCTCGCCGCCGCCGGCGGGAGGCCTACAAGCGCTGAGCACGGGCCGAGGTGCAGCTGCCGGCCCCGCCGTGTCACCGCCGCCGGCGGACACTGGCCAGATTGGGTGCACCGCAGCGCAGTCTACCAGGCCGGCTGCCGCCTACGGAGCCTCGCCGCCGCCGGCGGGAGGCCTGCCAGTACGGAGTGGGGACGGAGACCCGCCTGAACAAACGGTAGCGGCTCACGCCGCCGCGCTCCTCCGTACGCCGCAGGGATGCGTGTCCGCCGGTGACAAGTCCGACCGGCGCGGTGACACGAACCTCGGTGACACCACCCTCCACTCGGTCGAGGTGGTGGATGACCTGCTCGGTCCGACCGTCGATGACGAGGTGTGGGAGGACGCTGAGGACCCGCTTCACGCAGCTGCCGTCGCAGCTATGCTCGCTGAGCGGGATACGGAGTGCGACGCGCGTCTGCCGCCGCTCGTGGACCCGAGTCTAGGGGTGACCAGAGCCGCTGCTGACCACGACCCGTGGCCGCCACCGACACCGGAGCGACGCCTGCCGCGGACCTCCCCGTGCGACGGCGGGCGCGTCCGCTGCAAGAAGCGCCCGAGACGCCGCGGAAGAGAGCGCAGGCGCCGCCGTCTGCACCGCGCTGCGGTGGCCTTGTGCGCCCGGACCCCGGAGGGTCCGCTGTGGTGCCTTGGAATGAAGACGATGTGATCGTCTTGGGGGGAGGTGTTGTATTATGGTCCAGCCCCCGCACGGCTGCTGGCTGCGCCTGCGCGCGCCCCTGCCGCCGCCACCGCTGGCCGCCCCGGCTCCGTGCCTGTGAGCGCCTCTGCCGCCGCCAGCTGACGGTGCGCGCCGAGCGGCATGACTGGCGAGTGGCGCGGGCGACTAGGCGCGGCGCTCGCCATACTTGTTTACTTTTGGACACTCTTTCGGCCTGAACGTATCGCAGTAAATAAATCGCGTTTTTCATTGATTGTGTGCTCTTTCACTCAAACGAACCAAAACATAACAGGAGCCAAACCTAAGGTACCCCCAAATCATGTTTTCTCACCGGATTTAGACCACTTATTTTTCATCACAGCCCTGACACCATACTTTTTTTGGAAAACATGGTGTGTCAAAAGTGGAAATAGCCGCCCGGCTTTAGTTCGCCAGCCTTGTCAATAGATGGCAGGACCACAATATGGGCAGCGGATCGTGCAATTGACGTCAAATTTTCGTTATCTGCTAAGAATTGAATGGCGGATCTTTTCATGCAAGAATCAAGTAAATCGGTCCACAACTTTTCTAGCAACAGAGATATGAAGTCAAACACCCTGCCAGAGCGGCGGCGCAGCGGCCGGCGGCGGCCGTTACGCGCCGCCTGGGAGACTGGCGGCGCTGAGCGGTTCCGACTTGGCACTGCACTAAAACCTGTTAACTGCTTGGAATAGTTATTATAGCAAAATTTTCATTCAAGTGAGGAATAACCAAGGGCAGGAAGTATGTTTGCTTGTGTGCGTACTGTGTAAGCCAAAAAGCTGCATTAGCAGATACTCGCTAATATTAGATCCAGCCAAGTCCAAACGCATTCCAGGGGATGTGTTTCTGATGGGTGAACAATATTTATTGTTCGATGGCGGATACAGTTTTAACAATACAAAAAATATTTTTGCACAGCTCTATTCCTTGAATAATTCTCTTCAACGCCTCATTCCTAGTTAAGCGAATTAGCCCACCCTGGTTGAATAAATAAGGCGATTTCGCCACAAGGTCGCGAAAAACCGACGGAAAACGGCCGCGCTCAACGTTAATTTGGGCATGCAGACTCTTAAAAACTCGCATTGGGCGGGTAGGGCTTCCCAGGTATTGGCTCCAAAACACCGTATTCGGCTCCTGAATACGTCCAAGTGACCCGCCTCGTTCCTAGTTAAGCTCTAATTAGATCAAGTGACTCATAAGGAGCGAAAAAGCGACTAAAAGCATGAATTTCCCTATGGCGGCGGGCTGCCGGGCTGCCAGACGGCGCACCGGCTATTTCCACTTTTGACACACCATGACTATAAAAAATAGGCCATCCGACCCATGCTTTTATATTAGCTTGTAGCCTCCTCACGTTGCCCCATCAGACAGTAATAATCACACTTCTCGGTGTTGACATAGGCGGCGGAACGGGGAGGGCACCGGGGCACCGTGCCCCCCTTTGATTTTGGCATTTAAGCATTAGCCGTATGGGCGTTGCATGGAAAGAATGGGACCAAAAGTCGGCAGTGCCCCCCCCCCTAATTGAAGGTGTTCCGCCGCTACTGGGTGTTGAGCGTTTGTCTGAGTGGCAGTGCCTCGTCTGAGGAATTTGCATGCCTAGCCTTATGTCTCAAGGGCCCACACGCATAGATGTTTTGCGAACCACATCGGTTTCTAAATGCCCAGCCGACTTCTGAGCGCTCGATGCCGAGCTCTGAGAGCTAATGCCAGCTTCTGGACCCACGTCGGCCTCTATGGTAGCCCACACTGGATTTATATGATCCATACCTGATACCAGTCTTTAAGGGTCAATCTGAATGGAGACCATAATTTCCCACGTAGGGTCCCTCAGACCAGTGTAATGCCTGTGTATCAACGAGACTGAGGGCTTTTCAGGTGGATTCTCCGTAATCGCCGTAGATCTCCGACACAACCTTAACCCTCCCCGGCACATGGGGGAGAGTTTGATGCAACCCCCCTAAGGTTTTTCGCGAATAACTCGCGTAAAAAGCGGCCGATCGCGACGAAACTTTCAGTAGCCTCGCATTGATCAATTTTACACCTACCCTGAAAATTTCATGACCCTGACCCAAATGACCTTTGACCTGCGACCTCTTTTCCGAGACCATGTTTGGCCGGAATCGCGATTCCGGCCAAACTAGTGCGGTCGGACCGCAGTCCGCACACAGCCTCCAAGCTCCGCCCACTGCGTCCCTTCCGTCACCGCACACAGCGACCGCTGTGGCCGGTCGGGACCGGCCACAGGAAGCCGTCCACCGCACGCAGCCGTGACGTCAGAACCGCCTACCCATCCCCTACCCCCACGCCTGCTGGACTCACCGCACACACCGCACGCAGCAGTGTGCGGTGCCCGTGAACGGCCATCCGGAATGGAAACTAACAGCTGATTCAGCTGATGCCTTCCCTTCGGTAAGTGCCCGAGGGCACGCGCGGCGTGGGTAGCGAGGGGAATGGAGGCAGCGGGAGCCGCGTCTGCCGCGCATTCACTGGCGCCGCATAAGAAAAAAAAAACACTGCCCCGCTGTGCAAGTCACTAGTCAGTGAGTGTCACCAAAATAAAACTAAACCTAATGATATTTTTCACCCAAGAATATTCGGAAACAGGTTCCTCGCCCTTTCTGTACCGTTTTCCGACTACTCTTCGGTAAAGGTATGTTTCCGTGAGAATATTCGGAAACAGGTTCCTCGCCCTTTCTGTACTGTTTTCCGACTATTCTTCGGTTAAAGGGACCCTCCCACGGCCCACCTTAACATTAGTTTTGAGTTGAGATAGCCAAGTTTGCGGCCAGGCTCAGAAACCACCATTTATCCTGGTCGCAACCCCCGCAGCTTTATGGTGTTCAAGAAATTTCTTCCCTTTACTTGCAGGGTGGGACCAGCGTGGTCCCTATCTCTTAACCATTACGGGAATCTGATGACGTCATCAGGCTTTCGAACGTCCGTTAAATGTTTGACTAAAACGTTTTGTAGCACGCGGTGGTATATGCTGCTTTGCGCGCAACAAATGCCGCACTTTCAAATAAAGTCGCTAGGAACAGCGGAGATCCCAAAAAGTAAACAAAAGTAAAAGTCTAATATCTTGAAAACCGGTGAATATTTTTTGATGAAATTTGGTAGATATTCGTTTTTGCTCTTTCTGAACCGAGCGACATCACTTTCATGCCAATTCATTAACTTTTTTGAAGGTGGGAGGGTCCCTTTAAGGAATGTTTCCGTGAGAATATTCGGAAACAGGCTCCTCGCTCTTTCGACTTTCTGTACCGTTTTCCGATTATTCTTCGGTAAAGGTATGTTTTCGCGAGGATTATAAGGGCGACCGAGATGTGACCATGAAGGGCATTCCACTAAATACACCTTAGACGTCAATGTTGTGTGCTACTAGGGAACGATCGTCCGAATTTGTTTCATTCAAATGCTACGGTCTCGACAAGATTAGTAAAAAAAGTCTCCTGATTATGATAGCAACCTCACGAGACAAGCCGGGAATCGTCTATTATTTAAACCCCTTTAAAAGCAAAGCATTTAGGTAAATCATGGAATCCTGGAATACCGCTACCGCCCACTGGCATGTCAGCACGACCGCCTGGCACAACAGCTGACAGCCACGCGACAGCAGCCCCAACCTTATCTTGAAGAATATTGGCGGCGGCTGCCGGCCGTCTAATCGGCCGTATCCGTGTTCGTGCTGCATTCGTGTGATAATATTGCCACCGGCCTATTTCAATTACTGTGGAACACTTGAACACTTGCTGCTTGAACACTTTCCCTAAATGCTCCTTTTCTTTCGCTTCCGCTTCTTTGGTGCTAGATATTTTCTCTGCTCTCCTGGCGAGGTTTCTGATGACTCCAACCTTCACTGCTGACGCGTGATTTGAGTTGTTTCTTATGTAAGTGTCACTTGCCGTTGGTTTCCTGTAAACAGCGGTTCGAAGACCCTGTGCACTGTCCCTGCTGACGCATACATCGAGAAACGACAGTTGGCCGTCCATTTCCTTCTCGGCGGTGAATTGAATACTTGGATATAACGGCAAGTGACACTCAAATCACGCGTCAGCAGTGAAGGTTGGAGTCATCAGAAACCTCGCCAGGAGAGCAGAGAAAATATCTAGCACCAAAGAATCGGAAGCGAAAGAAAAGGAGCATTTAGGGAAAGTGTTCAAGCAGCACGGATACCCAAATCATGTGATTAAAAAGGGATTAGCGCAGAAGAAAGCAAATAGGACAGATGCACATGAAGAAACAAGCCGAACAACGTACATTTCTTTACCTTACGTGCAAGGACTGAGCGAGCCCATAGCAAGACTTTTACGTCAACACAACATCAAAACAGGGCACAAATCTAGAACGCTTCGAGATCATCTAGTTCAAGTAAAAGACAAGACGGATCCAGAAATGCAAAAGGGTGTCATCTATCAGATTAAATGTGATTGCGGGGAGTCTTATGTCGGAGAAAGTGGACGTCCCAAGCTTACGAGGCTGAAAGAACATGTGGCTGATATAAGACATGGTCGCACGGACACATCGGCTACAGCACAACACGCCTTCTCATGTGCTAGAGATTTGGACCCGCGAAAAGCTACAACCTTGGCCATTGAACGGAACTGGAAAAGAAGAACGATTCGGGAAGCTCTAGAGATAAAGATACACAAGTCAGCAATGAATAGGGGGGTGGGCAAAGCTACCATTAGCCCGATTTGGGACGTTGCTTTGTGTTGACATGTGTTAGTTTTATAGAGAAAATGGGGAACCATAGTTGTTTTTTTTTTTGCATCTCAAAAGTATCTAGGTACTCTTTCTTGTCTTTGCATGATAGCCAAAGTACAGGTTTTAATGCATTTTTATAAGAGACCGTCTGGCGCTTATACGATTCCGACTTTCGACGATGATACGAATCAGACGATGTTTAATATCTTACCAGTATAACGCCTTTTGGGGCGACTAACGGAGCGAGCGAGAGGGTGAGC